GTGGTATAGATTTGCTATAATAAGCTTCATCTCTATTTTATGACAAAAAGACTTCTATTATATCAGGATTTGTTGTTTTACCTCAATGTCGGGTTTGTGATAATTATAGCCTTGACACAGAGAACCTTGACACGAAGTATATATTCTCCCGCCAAGCCAATATCACTGAAGTGGTACTAGAGTGGTAATGACATTAAAATAACAACATGCTTCTTGTTGATATCATGCTTGGTGTTTGAGAATGATGTTTTGATAGGCGAGTGTTGTGGTTTTGATCGTCTGACCATTGAAATGACAGACTGCATCACCTTTCAAATAGAGACACCGAAAGAACACAGCAAAGTCTCTATGTTTGAGACATGTCCGTTTATATAGGGGTTTTGAAAAGAAAATCTATTATGTCTGGACATTGGAAACTGTCTGTAGAAGTTTTTATTGGAGAAGTTTTAGGTTTCCGTATTAGACAGTTCATAAGGAGACGTTCGTCTGTCCATGGCAAAGAAAATTTCGACGTTTCGAGAGCCAAAGGTTCTTCGTCATGCAGGAAGCGAGAAACCTCTAGCTCGTATATATCGACTTCCAGATCACTGGGTCGGGCGTAGCCAAGCACTCGACGTTTTCTTGATCTTTTTCAGGTAGTTTCAACCAAAACCACGGCAACTGTTTTATCTGCATACAAAATATGTTCATTTTACTAAGTGAAAAGAGCCCACGTTTGTAACAATCCATTTCCAACCAACATTTCCTGAACCGTATTACCACCCAAATTCATAGTAAAAAGTTTTGGCATGCATCGTGTATATATATACAGGGTCGCCGGAACGATGTGAAGGCAAGGGGGGCAGATTTTCGTGAAAGGGCACTTTTGAATTGATATATATACTAGGAGATGTTTGCGAAACATCGGGAGTTGAACTTCGCGTAATCATGTTTTCTATTGATTGGATGATAGGGGTGTGAGGGGTTCTCCGCCAGGCAATTGTGCTATTCTTGACTGCATTTCGTGCGTTTTCTGAAGCAAATTCGTAAAAGAATTGCACTAACATTTCTGACAATTCGCTATTTCGCCAAGGCAATCCTTTAAATTGAAAGGGCACCTTTGCCCCCCTTGCCCCTCCTGGTAAAGGGCAACGGGGGCGGCTGCCCCCCCCCCCAAGTTCCGGCGTCCCTGTATATATATATATATATATATATATATATATATATATATATATATATATATATATATATATATATATATATATATATATATATATATATATATATATATATATATATATATAGGTCAACTTCACTGTCTTCAGAAATGTTGTATTTATTTGCCTCCAAAAACAAGACTGCCTGTTCTATACATGTATATAATAAAAATGAACATCATTGTCTCACTCTGATAACTACCATTTGACCATCATCTGTTGCACGACAGCGGTTATAGTGGCAGCCATCCATATCCCGTGTCCAGAGTACATTTTTCATTTCTATAACTTTATTTTTTCCGAAATTAGGAGACAAAGGTAAAGGCAAGAGATTTGAAGTTGTCAAACTTTCGTCTGGTCCGACAGAGGAAGTAAGTTTAAATGTTTACATCAATGTGATTTATTTAAAATTGCAAGCACAATTTATATAGTAGACTTAACGACATTGGAACTTGGAAATTTTGGAAAACCTGAACAAAAATCGTGCAATTTTTGTGTGCTACCATAGATAGCCTCGTATATTTATAACATTTAATTAATAAGTTCTTTATTCTAGGTTGAAGTGCGTGTATATCGGAATCCTGCGCTGGGATTTACTATCGGTGGTGGCGCAAACAGCGGATCTCAAGTTGAGGTAAATTTCAGTCAACTTATATATGTGAATACCTATTTAGTCACGTTATCGTATTTAGTACAATCTCAAGTATAAGATTCAGCTTCCCAGAACTGTTCTGCAGTTGTAGCGATTTGGATGAAATTTCCAGATTAAAGAAAGTCGGGTTAAATTAAGACAAAATATTTAGAAAATACTTTGAATGCAATATGTCGCAAGATACCAAACTGCAGTACATTCATTATTTTAAAATTCAACTTTCTGTCTTCAGGGTATTTACGTGGTCTCCGTCAATCCTGGCGGACCTTCATCTCATTTACTACGTTCAGGAGATCGCATTTTAGAGGTAATGATGGTTTAATCTTGTATTTACAGGGTTTCGCAGCTTTCTGTGCGTAAGAAACCATGAAAAGTTTGACACATACCAAAACACCAAAGAATCATTTTGACACGCAGTTTACTCAAAGCAGCGAGTTCCTTATGTATCTGGAATGCATGAGAACTCGCGTCCGAAATGTGAAGCCAAGATGGCGGAAACCAGTGCCAACCCTTTTCTATTGTTCTTGACCGCGCGGGTAACACGAAGCTGCAGGGAGAGTGATTATGATTTAATGAACTGATAACTTTATTAGCTTTATAACTTTATCTGTGGGAAATACTGCACTTATATGAGAAAAATACTATGCAAACTGTTTACGACCTTCGACTGCATTGGACGTCCATTTCCGCCATCTTGGTCTTCACTTCTCTGAAAGACCGAATGACTCAAAGGAGGGTTTCAGTAAGCCGACTTACATGCAGTGTAATATAGTGATCAATGTCACTTAGGATGCCATTTTGTTTACATGATTTGACAGACGTTCCTACCTTAGTGCACGATGGTGAAACCTGCCTATATACTAGTATACTACTAGCTGCAGGATGCTGGTTTTGTACACTTGAGACGTTACTCATGATAATCTATTTCTTTTCATTTTAGGTGAATGAGATGAACTTGCGAAGTGTCTCACATGAACTCGCTGTTCTCTTTCTTACGCATAATCAACAATTAGATCTTTTAATTGAGAGAGTTGTACAGTAATTGAATAATAACTAAATCATTAATGAATGTAAATAGCATTGCTAAGCACGGTGCTGTGCAGCAATTGGATTTCAGTCCTATTTTAGAGCTTGTAGTGTTGAAGAGTTGGTGTAAAGAATATTTTAATGATAAAATACGGTGGAAATATTAAAGACTTACAGCTCCTGAAAAATAAATTTATCCATTTCAATCTTATTTGTTTACATGATCAATAAATTATATTTTTCTTGTAATAACTTATTGTGTAAGTAAGATAAAAATAAATGATTATTTATGTTATTTGTGTTGTACATTTATCAAAAGTTTCCAAACATTCACGTTTTTGTCTGATCAACATGAAAGTAAGACCTAAACTATATCCATTTGGCTGTGGCTTTGGTAGGGTGACAAGCTCGTGAAAACTAAATAACTAACGTTTTTTTATCTCAATGAATTATAATAGAAGGGTTTTGTTGATGGAAACTTTGCGTGTAAATGTTATATATTTATTTCGACCTAACCAGGAGCAACTGAAAAAAATGCAACTATACTACTATCTTGGCCCTCTGGCAGGAAACGAACCCGCGACCCTGCGATTCCAGACTGAGAGGTCAGTTGTTGAGCTCTACACCGCCCGTTCAATGCTTTCCATCAACCAGAAATGTTCGCTGTTTTTGTTAGATTGTTTATCACTTTTTATAGCGGTCTCTTTGTCTTAATGCTGACATCTTTATCGGGCACGTTTAGCCGTTTACTTTTTAAAAATATTTCCAACGTCGTTCTGTTATCCAATTGTTTACCTTTGTACCTTTTGGCAATACATCTTACAAGTGCTTACGCTAATTTTTAATACACAGGACTTTTAATTTAATCTGAAATGCACAGTGCATTGTGGGATACTCGTGGTTCAATAATTCATTGTTTGAAAAATACTTGACGTCTAAGGTCCATTGTCGCGGCAAGGTTACAAGATAGCTATCTTCAATCTCCGATGCTACCCGAATGGCGGGCAGCCTCGTACCCAGGGCATTTTGCTTCCCACTCATCGAAATGTAATTATTCTATATACGTACTTATACGCAGAAATTATCATAATTGAACACCCCAAATACTGGAGATTTTGAAGTCACGTGACCGGCCGATGCCAGGGCCATTTTGAAGCAAAATGCCCTGGGTACGAGGTTGAATGGCGGGTAACTTAAAAACATGTTTAAAGATGATACAGACCTGCCAACCCTTGAGTGGCAGAAATAGTGAGTTTCTATCTAAAAAGTCGTGAGGTTGACTGAAAAATCGTGAGACTTTCAATTTCAGACATTTTCAGGTTTGCTCATGCATTTATATTTTTATGCATTTATATTTTGTTAATATAACCGTTATGCAAGGCTTATGAAAAATAGGCTGTTTTTTCTTTGTGGCTTCAGTAGCTTCCAGTGTCAAGTCTCACAAAATAATAGCATATTTCTTTTTTCCACGGGTGTTTGGAATCACTTGTGGTTTTATCAGAGATTTTGCCGAAAATCGTGAGATTTGGGGACTTAATCGTGAGATCGTGAGTCTCACGATTAAATCGTGAGACTTGGCAGGTCATTTATGCAAGATTTTGGACATCTATTTTCGATAGAACTCATAATTGTAAAATGGTTTTGTAGATGAAAGTTTCAAGTGTGAATGTTTCTTGTTAGGTCTCACGTTGTTTGCGTCGCTCGTTGTTTGCGTCTAGCTCTTAACAAGTTGCAATCTCGAAACCCGACCCTGCAATCCTCTGTGGAGGCTTTCCACAGAGGATTGCGGGCTCTGGTTTCGAGATTGAACAAGTTGCTTAAGCAAATGCCTATGGTGGTTGAAACTGACATTTGAACTTGACTATCCAGCCTCGTGGTTGGTTGATTATAACAATGAAAGACAATAGAACTATAGAAATTTCTAAAGAGCGAGTCATGAACAATGATCTTTTTGTTTCTGAAAGCCAATCACAAAACATGAGCATTTTAGGTAATATTGAGTTGAGTTACACTTCTGCTATACCTTCCTATTCTGTGGCTCGGGTAACAGTTACTGTGAACGATATAAATATATAATTTTCGAGACATGAAGTAAACTCCTGTTATACCGCATGTCCGTGTGCGGGCGCACTGAAAACAAATATGGCGGCTGATTTGAACGGAAAAATGAAAAATCAAACTTTATTCTGAAAATTATTGAAATAATAGAAATATTCTAGGAATATCTAATATATCATGGATTTCTTTCCAAGTCAAGAAGGTGATATGTTAATTAATTCACCAACATCAACCAGAAATAATTTAAGTCGCGTTGAAATAGAGAGACAAAGGTCAAAAGCAGATAAAGTCGCATGGTTCACCCACAACGTAAGAATATATAAATATATGTATAGCGGTTATTATTAGGTGTATTTATAGTATAAGTGTATTGGCTTTAGTGTGTTTAAGTGATGGGAAATATTTATTTGTGTAAAGAAAAGTATGTTATATAATATGTAAATAAATGTAATTAGACTGCATTTATAGCAAACACAAGATGACGTCAACCAGGACGTGAAAATGGCATGGTATGTGGGATTTTTACTTCCTGTTTAGCCAAGGACGTCGTTCAGGTTGTGTTTAGGACCTTTCAAATAAAGAATTATGCAAGCAGTGAAAAAAACACGAAAAAGATAAACCCGAAGTCACAGATTCATACCGGAAGGCGGAAGTAAGCGTGAGGTGTATGACGTCATTTTCACATCCTGATTGACATAGTGTTGCACATTAAGTTTGCTAAAGCAACCTATTGATTCAGAGTTGACACCATCCCCGTGCCTCAGTGCCCCATGTCAAGCCCTCACTCTCGGACATACACACTAACATCAGTGTCATAGCGAGTATACTGTATTTTGTTTTGTGATGCTTACAGACAGGACTCGAATTTTATCGTGGCAATCGTGGCAATTGCCGTAGTGGGAGAACAAAATGCCATGGATCATTGCGGCAACAACAGCAATTTTTTGCCTTATAGTGCAGTTTTTATACTATTTACTTACTGCATTACTATTTTGATACTTGAATTCAGATGTTGATCAAATCATGCGTAAATCGCTATTTTAGTCTCAGTTTTCTTAAAAAAAACACTAAAGAAATACGTAGACATGTTTCTAGCTAAATGTCAAAAATCCAAAGTGAGAATAAAATTAAAGTTTTATTACAGTAATTTGAAAAATGCTGTGGAAACGGTCAAAATTGCCGTAGACAGATGTTACGTCCTACGGCAATTTTTAACGCCATTGCTGTCGATTGATTTCAGGGAAATTTGAGGCCTGCTTACGGGGTATTCATTGTACAACATTGTTTGATGTTTAAACACTCTCACAGGAAGGGAGTGTGTTATACCTTCCCTAATTAACACTAACAACACATCACTCAGCCTACACATGCTACACTAGTATCTGGCACTTATGTATATCTAAATTAAATGTATTTACAATTTAAACATCAATATCACTGTCTTTTAGCTTGCTTTTAGACAAGCTTGACATATCCTCATTATTTGTCAAAATCTATTCCGTCTTTCTGTCAACATCTACATGTATTCCCTGAGGTGTGTGATTTCAGACTCGAAAACAAATGAGGCGCATGGTAGAATGCGCACCTTGATGAGTCAAGGCACATGTGAAGTCATGCGTGTGCATGATCACTCACCTCAAACGGCCAGGTCTGGACAGTGCATTTTTTCATAGAGTTGGTAAACAATGAATAATATTTAATATGTCAATGATTTCATTATTTTTCTCAGGAATTTTTGTGGAGAAGTGGTGCAAGCTTTTTGTGGTTTATTTTTCTCTTGCCTGCAATTTCTATCTTATATGTCACTTTGGTTTTGTTCAGTCTCAAAAATCCTTTTGCTTGGATCACAGGTACGGTTTAATGTGGAAATTTAGAAAATAATGCAACAATGGCCAGGGTGTCTACATATCCTAGAATATCTTACCGGTACATTATTTTCTACTTCTGGAGACTCTTGGAATTTAAAAAAAACTCCTGAGAAATTGTGAAAAACTCTTTGATGCGCCACTGGCAATGAATCTCTCCCGCAATTTGTTTTGGAGGCACATAACACTGTTTGCATTACCATGTTTTGCCACACTTGTCTAGTTTGTTTTAAATACCCATGGAAAATTCCTGACTTGGTTGAAAGATGGTTTTTTAAACAAGTGGAAGTACAGTATATACAGACCTGGAAAAAAGTGGGATCTCGGGATCCTGTCAGATCCTGAGGAACATTTGCCTTAGCAAAGATTGAGGGACATTTTGAATTTTTCATGCATACTTTAAGGGAGAATTTTAAGGAATCATATGTTGTTATCTCCCATTTGAGTCTATTTTGAGTTACAACCAATATAATTGACAGAGGAACATTTGAAAAAGGCTAATTCAGGATACGGGGAATATTGAACACTTTTTCCAGGTCTGAAAGTATACTTTCTATTTTTATTTATACTTCAGCCAATGTCATGAATATTGTTCACCAGCACCTGGGCGCATTCCACACATGTATCACATGGCGGTGTAGCACACCAAAGCGCCTAGATAATATGAACATGAGACTCATTGTTTACATACCTTGAAAAAATCTGATTAAAATTAAATTTTATTGAAAATTTTAAAATATGTCTGCTCAGATGTTTTAAATTTCATTTTGATTCCCGGTGTCACAGTAGTATTGGGTAAGCCACATCAACAAACTATACCTTCTGCTGAACACTGAACAGTACTATATAATTAAAGTGATTTTAAATTTGACAATTGAGTACTCTTGCATATGGTTAGCTAATCATAGGCATAGCTCAGTGGGTTCACACACTCTTTGGTTAACCCAGATAAACTGATTGCCATGGCCGGATTTTGAGGGGAGTTGTGGGGAGGTGCGCACCTGAGATCGTTTTGCATTTCCCCTGAGAATGTTTGCACTTCCCCTGAAAATTCATGCATCCACCTCCCCTTGGGGAAGTTTCAATGACAGAGAAAATTTCTGAAAATTTAACGTTTTTTGGTTACTTAGGGTCTACACTTCATAAGAAAGTTTTTCTGTAAAATTGAAATAGTAGTAGCCACCATTCATCTCTGTGTCAAATACCCTTTTAATTAATGCAATGTTTTGAAACAAACTTTGTAGTAATTGTAATAGACTTGCCACAAGTCGACCTCGAACGATAGCAAGTCTATAATTGTAATGAAGGGCAAAATTGGATGAGTTGTAGTTGTACCGTCAGTCATACAGTAATTCATTAAATAATACACTATACACGATACTTGACATAAACCACATGCATACGTCACGTCGTTGGCCCGTTCTAAGCCCTAACGTTCCTTAGGGGTCATGAACTAGACATTGGACTTCCCCCAAATTTTATTTCACTTCCCCCACTATTTCCACCAAAATTTTGCAACCATGTTAGATGGATGTTGACGGTCTCTCTACTGCTTTTTATCTTATGTTTAATAATTTACCAGGAAAAAATAGCTTTTGATTAAAGTTGGTGAATTAATTACCATAGAGACTTTTATATTCAATTTTTGAATACCGGGTACTGCATCTTCTTATAATACATTATATTTCATTTTCCAAATTTTGTAGATGTTCTCTCAAAGATATTTTCATTTTGGGAACTTTTCGTTTTTGTGTTTTTCTTTGGAATTATTCTCACTCCCGTGGTCTGGGTTAATATCAAAATTTGCTCAGGTAAATTTCTAAATATAAATTATGCTTTTTGTGTATTATGTCAGTCAGTGCTACACGTATGTGTCAATGTCAATTATGTCATATAATCATCGTCTACCTACAGCATGTTTTAGCATAACAAAAATGCGGTTCTAATGACTGAGAAACAAAATGCCAGTCCCGTAAATACAATTAACAGGAATTTTTTAAAAATACATTGATCATCTTGTAAGATACGAGTTGCTGAAGACACAAAAAAATTGCGTTTACAAGGTCACAACTAGTACTAGTAGTATACTATTGTAAATGCTGTAATTTGATTGCTATTCCTCCGCTCGATAGATAGCGCGAGTACGCCGAGTAGCAAAACAATAATTTTCCTGGCACATTTTTTTTTAAAAGTGGCTTGAGGCTCGCGTTTTTCATTGAATTATTTTGCGGAACATTTTATGTTTGATCTCTAATTCTACTTATAATTCTACTACTCTCCAATTCCCATTATTGCTCGTTTGCAATCGACGCCATCTTATTCTTCATTCTTTGTTGTATTGTGCCAGAAATCGTAAACTATCCATAATACAGTAAGATTTTTTCAAAACAAACCAAAAATATTAAATTAACTCAACTACTTCGATGTAAACGGCTGGACAAAACTTTAAAATCAACCAAGATGGCGTCTAATGACACGTAGTGACGTCATGTGCAAGCAAATAATTGACTTATTTTTTATCTTGGCAAAAAAAGGATATTCCCGGAAAGAGCATATTAAAATTAGTAAAATTGCAAAGTTTGGTTGCGAAATGTTGTAAAATACGGAAAATATAGCCTCGCAAAGTTCGCAAATTTTGTATACTTTTGTATTGCGTGCGGAATTGCCACCACATTTACTTTTGTATTGCGGGCGGAATTGCCACCACATTTACTTTTGTATTGCGGGCGGAATTGCCACCACATTTACTTTTGTATTGCGGGCGGAATTGCCACCACATTTACTTTTGTATTGCGGGCGGAATTGCCACCACATTTACTTTTGTATTGCGGGCGGAATTGCCACCACATTTACTTTTGTATTGCGTGCGGAATTGCTATACCACATTTGGGCCGAAAATGGTAGCAATTTCCGCACTCAATACAAAAGTATACAAAATTTGCGAACTTTGCAAGGCTATATTTTCCTCAATTTACAACATCTTGCAACCAAACTTTGCAATTGTACTCATTTTAGTATGCTCGTTCTAGCTGTGGTGATTTATTTATAATAATAATATAAATTTCGGGGCCAGAAAACACGCTATGTTCCACGGTCTCAGTAAATATTAAAGTAAAAATAAGCGATAATTAGCCATCAGTGCTCGTTTATTCAAATGTGTCTGTTTGCTTGAAAACTTTAGAAATGCATACTAGATTTATGAAAAAAAAAGTATTTCTATGCAAAAGAAGCGAGCTGTTGGAAAGTTTGCTTTGTCGTTTTTCGTTCAAATTTAGGACTATAAAGCTAACTGACTTTGGAACAATTGATTCACCCATCCTTACTGTAGCTTATCCAGCCACGCGCTAATGAAAACAAAATGTCATTCGCCCATCATTGCTGGAAAAAAGCATGTCCATGTAAACAATGGATGAAACTTAGTGCTACTTAGTTGGTGTAACAATGAGTTCCAGTTTCTTTCATTATAAGCAAATGTTCTCAATTTCTCTATGGGTTAATAAGTGCAATGGGTGTATTATATAGAGAATGATACATGGCATCCATGTATTTTTCTGTTTATTATAAAGGACAGTCTTTGAAAAGCGATAATTTTTGCAGAAAAGCGATAATTGAAAAGCGATAATTTTCACATGTGAGATTATCATGAATAATCTCACATGTGAGATTATCACTTTTATCAGTGCTCGAAATCTCTTTCAAAAACTCATTAATAATTCATGAAGCAATTATCCAATCTTGAGTAAGAAATTAGTCACGTGCATACGTCTTTATACCAGCTAAAGCACACTTTAACAAAAGACCATTGTTATGCAAACTATATAAAGATTTTTATATTAAGATTTTTATATAAAGATTTTTATATAAAGATTTCTATATAAAGATTTTTATATAAAGATTTGACTTATTATGCAAATGTTTTTGAAGTCACTTAAAAAACTCGCAGGTCGTGTCTTATTAGGTCTAAAGCCACTCGCTCTGCGCGCTCGTGGCTTTAAACCTAATAAAACACTCCTGCTCGTTTATTAAACAGTACATAAAGCACTATACTTTATATAATAAATAGTTATTCAATTAAATAATGAAAGAATGACCAATGTCTGGTAAAAAGATGGTAGAAATTTCAGAGCAACTACACTTTCTGTTTTTTCACTTTAGTTGAAGTAAAGACAGGGGTTACCAGACTCTCCGTTGTAAAATCACTCTTCACTGTGAAACATGTATCTCATCTGATATTCTGCATCCTCTCTGGCTCTCTTGGCATATATTGGCTCACGTCATTTACCTACTACGAATATGGAGTATTCACACGCAACTGTACCACGTAAGTAGTGGGAATATAGAAATTGCTTCCTTATTAAGTTTGAAGTTTTCTTCCTAAAAAATTTGAAGATTTTCTTTGGTATAAGTACATACAGTACTGTATGTAATTATGTGCATGTAATACTTGATGTAAACAGCATTTGATCCACATGTTACGCTATAGAAATGCATGATAATCGTCATCATAAAAGATGCTTGCCGTGACGACCGCGCCACCGAGGCCCTAATTTAAATTGCCATTTTCACAATGTGGATATGATATGAAAATAGTATATATCCACATTGTTTCAGCCCATATAATCTGGATATTTTTCCAGTGCTTGCTACTCTGCTTGATTCTTGTTATTGTTGTATTTAGTTTCTACAATGAAAAGCCATTATTGTGTTTCAATGAAACGACTTTGTTCCTCCATGTTTTTGGTGCTGTTCTGGTAAGTTGCAAATTAATACAAGCAAAGCAAATACCACCCATGATTTTCAAAAGAGCAAAGCAGGTTGTGACCTTACAAAGCAACATATAAGGAACGAAATCAGTTTCATTGGTGCTCTGCATTGTGGTTATAGTGGTATCACTGATATTCACGATGGCTTATTTTTTGTCCTGACCCGTGCAAGAACTTTTTAAAAAAGCTAGGGTCAGGTGCGCGATAGCCAACAGCAAAATATTCGCGAAAAAATTCAATATTTTCATTCGAGGCCGCTATCTTTATCAGTGATACCACTACTGTATAACCACAATGCAAAGCGCTACGAAAACGTAATAAGGGCGGGAATCATCAATTACGTATTCAGTTTACGTATACTCGGCCCAGCAAAGCAAGACAAACTTTTGCTAATTTCTCATTTTCATCCAAATTTAACCAAAATTTAATCAGTTTGTCCTCGGACAAAATTTTGTTTTAATACGTTTGATATTCTTCAAGAGAGAAAATTATAGAAAAAATCATTAAAAACTAACACATATAACTTCCTGACGGAGGTAATTGTTGTTGTATAGTTGTGAGGCTCAGTTTTGTCTTGTATTTTGTTTAGGGAGTTGTTTATTCCTTGATATATTTTAAAGAAAAGCATCGTCAGATAAAATTTCCAGTCGTTCAGGTATTGTTTTTATCTAATAAAATTATTATATATAACATTTTAAAATGCGTGCTGGCGTGTTCTCCCATGCAAGTCAGCTTAAAAGATACCAGGTTTGGCTGTTTTGTATTCTTTAGGTCCAGTGAAACGAGGATGAGAGTTGGTCAAAGTTGATGGGAGTTGTAACTCTCGCTCGCGAGATTTTTGATCGTTTCACCGGTAATATCCAGTCAACTCTCATCCACTCTTATTCAAACTCTCGCGTGCGAACTCTCGGAGGGTCAATTCTAAAATAAAACAGAGTTATCATATTGTTCGTTTTATGTATTAGCCTTGTGTTTGGTGGCAAATACATGGAATTTCGTATCATTTCCTCACTCCAGCACAGCATAAACATCAAACAATTTGAGGTTGAACCCTCCGTCAGATTCACTGCATAATGCCGTAGTGAAACGTATTTTTCGTTTTCAGGTACTCTGTGGTTTGTCTACCTACATTAATATGCTATAATGTTTAGGGGTGCACCGGATTTAACGAATTTTCCGGCATCCGGCCGGATTTGGAGAAAATCCGGCCGGATTTAAATTTCTGTTTTCACCTTAAAAATGGGATAAACCATCAATTCCAAATCCGGTGCACCCCTAATAATGTTATTTAACGAAGATACTGTATGTTTTTTTAATTTTCGTTGCAGCAAGAAAGAATATTTAGGGTAAAGGCGTGTCTGGTTCCCTGTTTTTGGCGAGCTGTTGTCGTCTCTGTCAAGGTAATAATATATTGCAGTTAAATCATTTCAGAGCCAAAGGCTCATTTAAAAATACGCCTGTCTATAGCCTGGTTTCCATCTGGTTGTAACTGTCGCGAACGTCTCGCCAACGTGTCGTGAATGATTTTTATGCGTGTTTCCATATGATTGTAACTGCCGTGACACTGTCGCAAGTTATTTTCGTACCCAGGGATCGCACAAGCAGCTGGCGGCAGTTTTAAAAAGACAAACACCGTCCCCTTAAAGGGGACCTTTGCCCCCCCCCCCCTTCCCCATGATTGTCGCAAAACTGTTGCCACGCTGTCGTTTTTCTGAGCACTTCCATTAAAACATAACCGTCACGTTTTTAACCTGTCGCAACTGTCGTCGAGATAGAACTCGAGCCTATCTGGACGACACTGTTGTAACTGTCGTGAACTGTTGCCAACTTGTTGCGACAACACTTTTCTTCATGTTTCCATTTGGTCACGAACATAGTTACACGAACATAGTTCCATTAGAACATAGTTACATAGTTCCATTTGGTCACGAACATAGTTACATTTGGTCACGAACACGTTCGCGACAACCATATAGAAACCAGACTTACATCTGATATAACTAAGATAATTTTGAAATAAACTACATTGACATTCCTGTCAATTACATTTAAATTTACAGTAAATTCTGTTTTTATTTATAGAGCGTACAGATTGGTTATCCTCTATATTTTTTGTTTGGTGAGTATAATTAGCACTTTTCTGTTACTTTCTGGGAAACAAATTTAACGTATATGATGATCTTAACATTTCATGAATTTTCAGGCACATTTGCAAAGGGAGCTGTTCGATGGTTTACTGGGCTTTATCAAGACAGGTAAATCTATTTTTACAATGCTATCCAAAATTTCGCACAAACCCAAATATCCTTTAAATTACTCCAACCAGAAATCTCAAGTGCAAAGAAATATTTTTGTACTGTATTTAAACAAAAAATATCGTAATAAAAACATGCTTTGATAAAACTTACCTGGAAAAATACAAAAAACTATAAAGTCACTTTAAGACTTTTGTTCGTGCGTATACCCATGTTGAAAACTCTTTAAATTCTATGTATTATGAAATAGCTAAATAAATAAAAGAATTCTGTATTCCTTGTTTGCAATCACGTGATCTTTCATCCAAATGACGGACAATCAAACAACTTGTGTACGATTTTTCTCCTATCAGAATGGTTGTAGCAAGAAAAACTGAACGATAATTCATCTTTTGAGTCTTAAACTGTCTCTAAACTCGATCAACATATTAAAATAGCTGTTTTTTGTTATACCTGTCCGTCAACTGACATCCCCAAATTACGTCATTGCAAACAAAGAATTATTTAATGTGTTAGTATTGAGGTAAATAGTACTTGTATATTTTTTTTAATAATTTCAACGATCTGTGGGCACCTAGGATAAAAGCTTAACTGGAAAGCAGTAGAAACTCAGCGCGACGTTCATCTAGGTCCTAACTTGGTACTGCGTGTAAATTTTAGTATTATAGATTATCAAGTCATGCTCAACAATCCATTGTTTTTTAGACAACTTTCTCGTTTGGATTCTCTCTATGGTCTTCTCGATCTTCGTTTGTTTTGGTTTTGTTTTACGTCCGGAATTGTGATTGCGTATGTCTGGTTGCTGACAAATAAATTGTTTATTATTGTTTATACAGAGGTTAGTTACACCTTGTTTGGTGTTTGAGACAGTATACAGTAGTTGCTTTTTTGGGTAGAAAGTTTTGTGCTCTGATCCTGAGCATTTGTAAAGAAGAAATGCAATAGAATTCCCAATATTCTTCATACCCTGCAAAACAGGATCTGTAAAGTCGAGATTTGTGTTGTATAGAAGAAGAAAAAACTACCTTTAAATAATTCCAAATTGTAGAGTAATTATTTTCGGCATCTTGGCTGAGTGCAGGAGGTGGTACATGACTAATTGGAATGTCTTAGAGCCATTGAGGGCCTGTCTGACCATGTACATGTAGGGGGTCTTACTAATTTTCACATCACTTCTGGAAAGCTTGATCCATTCTTTGTTCATGGTCATTCACAGACAATACAGTCCTGAACAGTACAGTCCTGAACAACGGTCCTGAACAACGCCATAGCTCCCTCAGTGATGATGGAACCTGCTCTCCTCATCAAGCTTGGTTCATTCTAGTCTATAACATGTTTTCAATCTTTCAAGGTTCTCAGATTTCCCATTCAGTCGACATTCACTGAAGATGCAGATCAAAGTCTTCCTGTGGCCTTGAAATGTCAGACTGTTCCTTTACTCAAGGTTGGTGTGTGCAACTTTAGAAAATTGTAATGTACTTTGTATTCGTGTGTTCTGTTGTAATATGTGTTCGTCCAAGTGTGCGGTATAATTGAATGCTTGTCCATCTTATGTGACTGTATAATTTGAAATGCAAATTGGGGTAGACTAAAAATACGCCTAATATATATATGTTGTTGTTGTTTAAGTCTCGTCGCTGTAAAATAAGTCTCAATAAATGTATTAAAGCTCATGAGTTCTCGTTCTGTTCGTCTTTTACTTACAACGAGCAGATTAAGCATGGAATATATCAACGTTCAAAATACCCTGCACCATGCATGCAATTGAGAGAGTGTATATGAGAGTTGAGAAGCAAGAGTTTGCACAAGAATTTTCTCAACTCTCATGCTCCAGTCAAATGCGAACAAGAGTTGCATGAGAGTTTTATTAGAATATTACCGCATGCGTAGCGAAAACTCTCATCACAATTTGAAGCAGTTCAAAGTCGATGAGAGTTGGTGGTCCAATGCGATGAAACTCTCATCAACTCTCATCCTCGTTCGACTGCATGAGGCTTTACAACAGAATATGTTACCTTGTCCTGTGTAAATAAAGTCATTCTAACCACAAACCTCTCATTTCATCTACATATCTCATCTATTTCTTTTTAGTACCTGGCATTTCATGATCTCTGTCAACTGTCACAGTTTTCATCAAAACGAAGAAAGCAAATATTCTCTTTAAGTATTCCAGGTATACAATAATTGATTTCCCTTTCACACATTTATATATAACATTTTATTTGAATTTGGTTGAGAATCTGACAAGCTAGATTCTTTATTCTTGTACCTCGTCTTAGCGAAAAACGCCCTTTCTTAGAAACTTTTTTTATCAATGTCATCATGAGCATGGAATTATCCTATACAGTAGATGTGCGGTTTGTGTTTTAAATATTAAGATAGTCATCATTCACATTCTAATTATTTAGGAGGTCGACCTCTGAATTGGTTGTGGATTTCAGATGAATGCCTGACTTTACTGAACGATCTGAAGGAACGTCTTACTCTACATAACAATAATCGTCACATGATGTATAGAGTGGTCAGGACAACTGAATCTCTCGCGAAAACACCAACACGAAGTTTTAGAGGTATGGTAGATGGAGGTTGCAAACTTTGGCAAGGCAGGTTTTGGGAAATTGTATATTCTAATAGTCTATTCTATAGTTGAGGTACAGTACATGTATAGCAAAGTTGGGAAGAACATTTCTTTAACACAAGCAATTTTTGTATATTGTTGTCTTTGCAATAATTCGCCTTATAATCCGCCTTATAATCCGCAAATAATCCGCAAAACATTTTCATCGGAAACAAAATTTAATCACACAGAGTTGAAATATGGACTGTCTTGCACAAGCTGTCAAAGTTTCAAGAAATTTGGTGCACGCGTAGGCCAACAGGAGATCTGAAAACCTGCATTTTCTTCCATTTTGTTCAAACCCAATTTCTTTGCATGATTTCAAATTAATGTTATGCATGCTCGAATGTTTGCATAAATTACAGTACGAAATTCGCAAGCTTTGATTTCTGCAATATGCAGTTATCTGATTATAATTACATCTAAGTCACATGAGAAAAGAGGTCCTCCAGTTTAACTTGAAGTAAAGTAACTTAAGGTTTCCTCCTGAAGTAAAACAAAGCCAATCAGACCTTACACCACAATTTAATATTTTATATAGACACAAGTCAAAGCTCAGTAAAACGAACTCCAAACCCTGTGAGATTTCAAACAACGAGTGAAATATCAACTTCAGGAAGTAAAACTCTGAGACACACTTTAACTGGTCATCAGTCGTCTGCAGGACACAAATCTTCAGAAAATACTCCAATTCAGCAAGACCACAAGGTGAATATAACTAATCCAGGCTTCTTTACTCTAAATATCTTGCGCATACCCATAGCTCAAAATAGCTCTAAATATTTAAGTTCTGGACCCGCTTTACCCAGGCAATATAAAAAGGTACTGTAGTTATGGTTAACTACAGTCAGTACGAAAGTCAACCAATTAAAATCTCCTAATTTAAAGTTAACTACAAAATAGTAATTGAAAAGTAGTACAGAGTTTTATTCAACCGACCCCAGGATGTGATGAGAAGTATTTTAATGACGTATCCAGTTTTTATGTTTGTTTAAAATGGGTGCAATAAAGTTCTCATGTGTAGCTGCCTCAAGCCCTCCTCCACCCCCCGCCCCCCTCCCCCCCGTTAGTGCTCCACATTTTTTGAATGTGGAAGCTTTGTTCTTTATCCAGGTTTTAATGTCTGAGAAACTGAAACAAATTCCTTTGGTAGAATATTTAGTGGAGAAGGTGAAGTGTATTTCTTTTATTTGTTTCAATATAAGTACGTGAAAGATGGAATTTTCCATTTCAAGAGGCTTCAAGACGGGACAGCTGTGTGAAATAGAAAATTCCATCTTTCACCGAATGAAAATATTTTTACTATAATTGCACGATGAACATACTCATTATTTGTTTTATATAACACTAAAATAATCAATTTATCGTTTTTTATTGAATTATATACAGTAAATACAAAACAAATACATAACCTGAGTCGCATATATAATGTTTAAAATTAATAAAAAATCCAACAAATATGTCCCAAAAATGAGTGAGACTTAAATAATAATTTACCTCGTCCTCGATATTGTCGTAAAAATAATGTTGTTACACCCGCCATTTTGCTTCACACAATTTCTGCATTTGGAATTTATTCCAACGATGTCATGAAAATTATCATGGTTAAATGGGCTGTAACGTTGATACGAACAGGATTTTGAATAATTGAATTTAATTAATATTTTACAGAGGAACAAAACGTACTATATTACAAAAATGCAGGGCTGTTTTATTTTTCAACCTGTTTAGGTGGACGAATTAGAAACAGAAGATTTATTCAGTGATGTACAGATACAGATTTGGGCAGCTGAAGGTTTGTGTTGTGTTGGAAACATAGAGAATGTGATCTCATCTTCTCAGTCATGTGAAATGAAGGATTATAAAACTTTGATGCAGTGAATATTCATGCTTAATATCCCTTAGAACTGCTTACGTCACGCAATTTTCAATCCATCAAAACATTAGGTATACGCAATGCAATGTGGAATACATGTGGATCAAATATTCATTGTCTGACTGTGACATAACGTAAAGACTTCTAGGTCAATTAGAAGAATAATTAGTAATTCGGATTTGTAATCTTGATATGTTTACGTCTGCAGGTTTATCACGACTGGTGGCTGCATCTTTCACGGAAGATGTTTTTGGTGTCGTGCAGAAGGTAGAATATTTGTAAATTTTTATTTGCAGTCATGTTTTCCTTGTCAATTTATTTTCCACATTCTCATTTCAGACATTGCCGTTTATATTGACCTCGTTACTCGAACTTCTTCAGGTATTCATTTATTTTGTTTTACAGTTTATCAGAAATATCAATCCTTCCAGTTGAACGCAGACAGTATTTTTTGAACCGCCATATTCTATATACAAATTTCCTAATGCCGAGTTCGTTCTACCAATCTCTCGATAAATATCTGTCATCGCCCCCCGCTCCGCAGAGCGATACAGATTCCCCTACAGCGACTTTTACCATCATTCCTACTTCATCTCAAAACTCTAAAGGCTGGATTACAACGTCAATGTTTTTGTGTTCACAGTAGGAATTTTGCATTTGTCTGCAGGAATTTGCAGGCCTGTAATCAATTGACTCAAATTACAGTACATGTTTTGTTTTAGGCAGTCGAGCTTTACCTTAAAAGACCTCTTGATCAAGAACAGTTATATAGAAAACGACATCCAAGTGAGATTAAAAGAACTGTGCACGTTTTTAGAGATTGTGAGTATCTTGTTATTCATGTTTATATTGTATGCAAAGTGGGCTGATTTCTACCAGAGAAGGATCATCCGTCTTACCTGTAGGCTGTAGCAGCCTAGGCCTAGGACCTTTACTTGGATGGCTTTGGTAGCTTTGGTCAATTTTGGGCTAGGATTTGGTAAGTATGACGTCACATGCGAAATGGAGCGCATGCGACGTCATACTTTCCAAATGGTAGCCCAAAAATGACCAAATCTGCCAATGTCAGCTGGTCCAAACCATCACCAACAATCTATTAAAACACTGTTCTGTGACATTTTTTTACAATTTTACTGCAATTATTTACTTGTTATCCCCTAAACCTACAATGTTGGACGTATTCCAATTCCTTTAACCGTTCTCTGGGAAAGCAATCAACATTGAAATTCTAATTTGCGTCAATATTAAGTAAGTTGGAAGTGGGTTGCTGTATCAATGATTATAGGTCTGGGCTGCCGTCTTAGTATAAACACAAGACGAACCATCCTGGCGGACCGCAGCTAAAAAGCGTGATCTATACAAACGACCATCAAAAATTCACGAACTACACAGATAATTTGTCTGTTTGCTAAACTTATAAACAGACGAATGTTCAGACGAGTTACTGTATCTTTTCATTGCCCAGTTTGTGCCCACTCGAAAACATCCTCATTGTGTTTGAACATTTCAGCTTTACGATGCTCTATATATAGAATAACAGAGACATTCCAGCAACACATCAGGTAATTTCTAATACTTGTTATAAAATTATTTTTCTTGTGCAAACTTGGTTGGAAGATATAAAGAGCTCTATCAGAAAAATATAAAAAAGGATTCGGTATTATTGTATTAGACGAAATTTCCAAGAGAAGTGTTATAAAATATGAATTCAAATCATTCGAAAAGGTTACAACACTCAGCATTTTTCGTCAACACGGGCGTCACCCGAAAATTGGTATAACTAAAGCCCGTTCTCCACTACGCGAATTTGTTCGCGCGACGCGAAGCGAAAACCGAAATCCGGCAACGTGATTGGTCGGCGAAAAAATTCGCGGCGAAAAAGTAGGATCGCTTCCTACTTTTTATCTGTTCGCGCGAATAAATTCGCCTAGTGGAGAACGGGCTTAATCTTGACGGCATTTTTTCTCACAGCGCTCGTGTAAGGAAGAAAAAAATTTAAAATCTTATGTTTTGTCATGTGTGTTTACCACAAACTGACACAAACACACTTTTTAATCTAGTCCCCCGTGTTGACTTGCTTCAGCTCGCAACTATATCATTCCTGCATGGCAGCCTACATTCTCCCCACCAGGGCTCGAATTTTATCGCGGCAATTGCCGTAGAGGCCGTATAGTGCAATTTTTATACTATATTCACTGTGCATTACTATTTTGATACTTGAATTCAGATGTTGATCAAATCATGCGTAAATCACTATTTTATTCTCACTTTTCTTCGAAAAAAAAACACTAAAGAAATACGTAGACATGTTTCTAGCTTGTCAAAAATCCAAAGTAACAATAAAATTAAAATTTTATTACAGTAATTTGAAAAATGCCGTGGAAACTGCCAAAATTGCCGTAGACAGCTGTTACGTTCTACGGCAATTTTTAACGCCATTGCCGTCGATTGATTTCAGGGAAATTCGAGGCCTGCTCCCCACAATCATTTCTGTGAAGCTTGTCGTATTGGGTAGCCCACATTGAGTGTTTATGGAATATTTTGGAGTGTCACCCATGCACCCTCTCCCATGCACCAGAGCACTGGTTCCTTGGGTTCCATTCCCGTTGAGGATATTCCGAATTTAATAGACCTTTCCCCTTTTGAGTGAAATTTTGATCTAGACAAGTCTGGACAAAAATTTCATCACAGCTTGAAAGAGCATCACAAAATTAGCAATATTCCGAAGTTTCGTTGCGAAATGTTATAAAATGCGGATAATATAGCCTTGCGAAGTTTGCCGTTTTTCAGTCATTTGGTATTACAAACGGGAAATTGATAATCAGATGATCAAACTGATGCAAAATGTTAGATTGTAATGCAAAATGACTGAAAAACGGCAAACTTCGCAAGGCAATATTATCCGCATTTTACAACATTTCGCAACGAAACTTCGGAATATTACTAATTTTGTGTTGCTCTTTCAAGCTGTGATGAAATTGTTGCCCAGGCATATCTAGATCAAAATTTCACTCATAAGGGGAAAGGTCTATTTTCCTGCAAGTAAATACACACTTGGGACCACAAGTCCTTTTCACTACTTTCGATACTAAAAATAGAATGTGTATTAAAATCACGGTAAACTGTTTAACAATGTTTTAATTTTATTGTTTAGTGACGTTGAACTGACAAGCAGTAACAAGGAATTCCTGACGTCTTTTCTGAAATTCCAAGAGTAACATGCAAACTGGCTTTCCGCGAATCTCGTGCATAATATGATTGCTTTGAGAAAGATATATAGTGTCAAACTGAAGAATTTCTTGTTAGATTTTTGTTTTGTTATTTTGTAGTTAAGGGGCGGACCATTAGAAATCCCGGGAGGGGGGTATAAAATTTTTGCGGCACGAATTTTAATGCATTTAACCTCTGTACGAATTTTTTTTCAAGACTATTTGTACTTCGCTGTTTGCTTGCACGAATTTTTTTTCTCTGACGTAATGGCTGCACGAATTTTTTTCCCAGGCATTTTCCTTTGCACGAATTTTTTTGGGGAATTTTCACCCCCCCTCCCGGGATTTCTAATGGTCCGCCCCTAATAGACTTAAGATTAACTTCTATAGAACTATAGATAATCGTCATAGAGCTAAACACGTAGCATATAAGGCAGTATTTCAGTTGCTTTAAAAAGGGCACGAGTTGCAGCTCTAAGGCATAGAGGCTTGCAGGTTTAATTGGGTTGAGACCACTGATAGCAGGGTGCGATAATTCAAGATTTCAGTCGTACCTGATTGGTACTTTTACCTGATTGGTATACTTCAGTGATTTTTTCCACGTACTTGCGCGAGTACAAACTCATACTCACGGTGTACTTATTCTTTAAAATAAAATAAAATACAGGTTTCTGAAAGGTATTCAAACTGCGTGTTAGAACAAGGAGCACAATTGCATATACAAACACTACAATCGACTCCAACATTCTTTTGTCCCATCAGTCCGATCATGTTTCATGCTAAGACATGTCAGACTTACATATATACTGACTTAACCACGGTTTTGAATACCTTGGGCTTGGAAAGGTCATGTGGCATACCAACAAAAAGTATGTACGCAGATAGCAAGAGTGTTTAGACCGTACGGAGGTATTGGTATACCTCCGGTACGTAAGTACGCGAATTATCGCACCCTGGATAGACTGGATAGTTAAGCGTGGAAAGCATTGAGAATCGATGATACAACGTTGGAATTTGCATGACAGTGTTCTTTTTTCAATTCTCATACCACCCGATCAAATGAGGTTCTAACTATATGTAACCGCGTGTAGTAAAAACACTCGTTGACTCTCATCGAAAGTTGAATCATCTCAAAGCTGACGAGGGTGCATGGTGTTGAGTTGGTGGCCACTGTCAAACACGGAGAGCGTAACTCATCAACTCTTATGAACTCGGTTTGACCACTGCTTTATATATTTCCTAATGTTTCAGTTGTTTGTGTTGATCATATAGTACATAAATATATAGGAATTGGTTTTTTCTTAGTCAAATTTCCCAATATATGGTTTTTTCTTAGTCAAATTTCCCATAGGCATAGGCACTATGGCATAGGGGACTAGGGTGTTTGGGAGGGAAGCGGAAGTAGAGAGCCCGGCTTGCAACATGGAAAAAAAATGTCCATGCTAAACTTCCAAAATACTAATCTACCGGGGGGGGTTCGCAGGGCTTGAAATTGTTCGCAACATATATTTCTTGCATTTTCGAGTAAAGCTTTATCATTTTTTGCTTTTAATTTTATTTAGCCCAGTTACAGCCCCCCCGGGCCTCGTACGCTTGTGAATTTCAATGAAACTTTTGCAGAGGAAATAGTTGGAGTGGAAGCTTGTGTCGCCAAGATGGCGGAACGTTCAAGAGAAAGAAGTTTTGTGATTTGATCAGATATCATTGTTTCTTTCAAGTATGTAAAACAGTCAATGTGACCATGAAGTATGGCTGCTTTCCTCGACACACAAGACGCCATGATGCATTATTTTACATTATTTCTCAGCTGAAATGACAATCAAGTATTCTCTACACGAGCTAAATGATCAGCTAATGAGAAGAAAGCTTGATGCAACGTTCGTTGTTTTTATTTTGCTTATCTCTCGTCTCTCTCACATTTCTCTGGCTCCAGATTTCTATGTTCAATAACATCAAACACGATAAACAGGTCAGAATATGTCAGCATTGTGCTTTATATGTATGACTATAAATATAATGTTTATATAAATCCATAGTGATAATTGTAATAAATTATTATATTATTATAAATTACTATTACATAGTGAAATTTGTAATAATGTATTAATAATTGTAATGTACATGGGAAAATAAGTTTAGTGTATGCTTGAGCTGCCACAGGAATCTGCGGCAAGTCCGACCATGTGATTACGCCTTTACCCTGCTGCAATATTGCTTAATTAACACTATCTACTCACAATTTAGCCATATATCTATACCAGGCAAATGCATTTAACTTAATCTATTATAACACAATATATTGTTTGTTTGTTTGTTTTGTTTCCATTTATCCCAATTTGCCAGACTGCAGAGTGTGGCAAGAACACACCTGCCTGGGGCCATTCCAAAAAAATATCCACACACCCCTATGGATGAGCTCAGTAAAATTTGAACCCCCAAGAAAAAAAGATCAAAAGCACTGATGCACACACCACCTCAGAAATTAGTTAATTTTTGCCTTACCCCTCAGAAAAAGTGCTAAGGTCAAAGGCTGCCAATTGCCATAACCCCCCAGAAATAGCCTTTTTGAACACCCCCCCTTAGAAATTCTCATCCATAGGGGGTGGTGACTGGATAGCCTGCATGTCAGGCTCTATGCATGAAATAAAACCTGCTACTGAAGTCGATGAAAAGTGGACAGTTATTTGGATGCATGGAAATAACAACCAATCAAAACGGCGATTGTTAATTAGATTGTCAAAGCTAATTTAAAATATGACAATAACGGCCAATTTTTCCGCCAATATCTCGAAAATAAATATTACAATTTTCTTTAAACGGCCAGGAATTACATGCTAAATAATAATAAATGACCGTGTTTATGGACAGCAAAGAAGTAATTAATGCAGCCAAAAGCACAATTACCAGCACCGAATATAATATTATGTAAACAACAACTTGATTTATTTATATTATTTATTTATTAACTTTACAATCATACAAAAATTATAACAATGATTGAAGGTATGGTCAACAGGACATGAGTCCCATGTGAAGATCAACCTGATGCAAAACAACAAGTAGACATACATTAAAGACAAGGACTTGAACACTATTTACATAGCTATATAAAAATTAATAGGTTAGATTATGAGCAACAGCTTAAGTTGAAAGAACGGCATTTAGAGCAGTAGGTTTTCCAAGTGCGCACTCTGTTAACATTCTATTAACATTCTATTACCTTATAAGGCAAGGCTATTTATTTCTGACCATAAAATAATCCAATTTCAATCATAGAGCCTGACACACAGGCTACTGACCAAGGGCAGATTTTCATTTATTTAAAGGAGGGGTAGAAAAATTTCTGGTGGGGTGCAAGCAGCATCACTCAGTGAGCTTTGGCCAGGGTTGGGTTAGGCATTTGGGTTAAAGCCTTTCACACAAAATAGGAGGGGTGAAGCAAAATTTTGGTGGGTTGATCACTTTATTAGAGGGGTTAGAGAGATTCTACGGGGGGGGGGGG